TACTTTTCAAGTACACGTGGTGGTGTTTTTTGTTTTTTGTTTGCCCTGCCTTGTTTGCCAAAAGTGTTGGATTGTTAACAGTGTGTAAAAGTATATATTTCCATGTACTAGTCTTCCCCTTCCCAAGTATCAATGCATTAATCAACAAAAATGATGAGTGTTTTGGAGAAGATGATCCTCTTATATTTCTGAATTGACATGGAGAGTTTATCACAAGCTTTTAAGACTTCAAAAGGAAAATCAATATTAATCCCCCTGCTGAAAGCCAGAAACATTCATTTTGTCAATGGGCCTAATCTACCTTATTTGACACTAGTGCTGCTGTAAACAGGAAAGGATCATTAATATCTATGAGGAGAGATGATCAGATGTCTATTCAGGCATCCTTGTCTAAAGAGGCAGTTTGCATTTATGTATATCAAAGAGATGGCAAGGACTCTTGTAAGGGACTTACAGTTTTGCCAACACACCCTGAAAGACGACCTGAGAGGCAGGGTAATGGTGAAAGGGTCATGTTTATTCGAATATAGCAATAGAAGATCTGCCAAACAGCAACCAAATTGTGCAAGTACGGGCAGGTGGGTTTGAATTAATGTATGTTAATTCCCTCCAACTCCACTGGACATGTAAACGGCCACATTCTGTGTCTCCCCAGCCAGTGACTGGGTGCAAATGATTCCTTCTTGCTAAGTGAGCTTTGTGAACCTGACACGCACACCCAGGCCCGACTGATCAGCATTCACAAAGATGTGCATGTCAGCCCTAAAGGGCAGCCCCAAGTACACCCCAAACGGAAGACTATGGAAGGGGACTCAAGAGTGTCGTAATGCCTCATGGTGCGTGATTTCTCCCCCTCCAATTGGGTACTTCTGCGTATGTGATCCCCAAGTCCCCTCCCAGCCATTCCCCACAAGGCTTAGTTTCCAGGCCTTGGATAATGTTGGTTGGCCTCCTTTGCACACATTCCAGCTTGTCAACATCCTTCTTAAATGGTGGTGCCCAGAAATGGACACAGTACATGCCCCAAGGTAAAAGACTTCTGGGAAAGGATTTATAATGAACTGAAAAAAGTGTTGAAAAACACATTTATTGGGAAACCAGAAGCCTTTTTACTTGGTATAGTGGGGGGGTGAAATTCCCAAAAAGGATGTTACTTTTTTTCTGTCTGCCACAACAGCTGTGAGAATATCACTAGTGAAGAATTGGAAGAAACAAGATTTACCAACTATCGAAGAATGGCTGATGAAGATGATGGACTATATGGAACTTGCTGAACTGACTGGGAGACTCCGAGACCAGAGAGAAGAGACGGTGGAAGAAGACTGGAAGAAGTTTAAAGAATATTTGAAAAAAATATGTTAATATTTAAATCTTAGAATAGCTTTGGACGTGGATATAGGCTGTAGGGTTAGAAGAAGAAGTTAGTGTATTTTAAAATAGTATTATTTGTAAGGGATAATATGTGAAGATTTTTATGGTAAAAGTGTGATAAAAGATGGTAAAAAAATTATGATATATGTAAACTGCTAAAGATGAGGTAAAATGAAAATCAGATGGGGGGACTTGGGGAAGATCACCTAACAATGTTTAGAAAAAATAAGGATAAGACAAGAATTTGTTTGTATTGTTTGTTTTTCTGTTTGTGTTGTTGTGTTATAAAATGAATTAAAAAAAAAATGGGGAAAAAGAATTGGACACAGTACTCCAGGTGTGGTCTGACCACGGCAAAATAGAGCAGGTCTGGATACTATACTCAGGGCCGGATTTAGGTTTGATGTGGCCCTAAGCTACTGAAGGTAATGGGGCCCTTTATATGTCCAGCTGTCCTTTGTCAACAACAAACTGCCGTTGCTTTCTGTGTTGAATATATGCTATATGGTAATTTATGGACCTAATAGGTATCTAAAGCCATTTACTCGTAACAAAATATGTATTTTATGTATGTATTTTATGTATTTTATCAAAGTAATTGTTGAACTGAAATACAATTAAGAAGAAATAAATTAATAGTGAATTTTTATGGGGCTCCCCAAGAGAATGGGGCCCTAAGCTATAGCTTGTTTAGCTTATATGTAAATCCGGCACTGACTATACTCCTGTAGATACAGCCTAGCATATTAGCTACAGGGAGAATATAATATTTTTCCTACATGCCCTAAGCTCCTTTTGCTACTGTTTTTGTTCCTTGGCAAAATTTAGGATGTCGATTCTTACCTTTAAAACTCTTCCAAACCTTTTCCAACCACATATGTATTCTCTTTCTTTCTTTCCTTCAATTGCTGTGATTAGCTTTGTATTATGATGTATTATGATTGAACAAAACAGTGTGTATGTACATAGACATACAAACAACAGTTTTCAGTGATAAGCCTGTTGTCCTTAACTCACCCTATTGTGTTTATTAGATCCTCCTTAAGCTAATAGGATTCTTCCAGGATTTATTTTTCTACCTGCTCATATGGTTCAGAATGCTGACTGACCTATTCTTTTGACATGGTTCTCAGAAAAGCTAGATTCTAAGCCAGACATATTCATGGAAATTAGGACTTTTGTGGAGATTGTGATGGGTTAACTGTGTTTCAGAAAGTCATCAGTACAAAGCAGACCTTGCTGTAATGTCCTTTAGTTCAGAGGCCCTTATCTCTCACCAGAATCTCAAAAATGCCTTCAAATACTCTTCCTATGTGGCTTGGGGATTCTGAAATTACCTTACCTTGGTACAGGAAGGCAACACAGCAAAGGTATCATGGGAAGGAATCTTAGGATATATACAGGGTACCTTATTTACTTAGATAGTTCATATCTATGTAAAGTTCATGTTGGGGAGACAATTCCACATAGAATCATTCTGTAACCAACTCACCAACCAATTCAGACAAAATTTGAAAGGAAGAAGAAATTGCAGATGTTCGCTTATTAGTCCCATGACTTGAGGTCCAGCTCCGAGGGCCTTCTGGCGGTTCCCTCCCTGTGAGAAATGAAGTTACAGGGAAGCAGGCAGAGGGCCTTCTCGGTAGTGGCACCCGCCCTGTGGAACACCCTCCCATCAGACGTCAAGGTAATAAACAACTATCTGACTTTTAGAAGACATCTGAAGGCAACCCTGTTTAGGGAAATCTTTAATGTTTGAAGTTTTATTTTGTTTTTAGTGTTCTGCTGGGAGCCACCCAGAGTGGCTGGGGAAACCCTGCCAGATGGGTGTGGTATAAGTAATAAATAATAAAATTGTTGTTGTTGTTTTGTTATTGTTGTTTTCAAATCTAGTGTATAGGATCGGTTGTTGTTTTTAGTCTGCAAATTGATTACATAATGTAATGGCAGCATAATTTATGTAATTGTGTAAGTTGAATAAGTTGTGTCATTTTGCCACAACGGATAGCAAGATGAATAACAATTTTTGGCTGAAGACGAATTGTAGCAGAATGGACACAGGGCTGGATGTGAAGAAACCAGAGCAGAATGGGAAACAGTGTCTTGTTGCATCCCTGCTCATAGCCTGAACAATGAATCTTTCAAGAGCTTTGTATTGGATCCAAAATCTCCAGAACGAATTAAGTTCTTAACCTGAAGTACCACTGTACCTTGAACTGTGTGAACAAGCTTTACTTACAGAAAAGCTCAGATGGGAGAGACTGGTGTATGACAGAAGTCTACAATAATAACCCTATGCATGGCCGCTCAATGGGACTTACGCCTTGCTGCTATCTTTAAAGCCAATGTAGCAGGAGCAAAATTGTCTCCTCGCTATATATCCTTCATCCAAGGAGTGCAGGTTAGTGCTGAAGGGACTTGATCTGTTTTGCACTCATAGTAACTGCACAAGCCTGATTAGGCTGAGAAAGAATGACTGGCTCAAAGGAAAAAAAAGTGGGCTTCATCAGTCAGTGGGGATTTGAACCCAGGTTCCCTCCATGTCCAAATCCAACACTGTCTCTATGGCACTGGTAGCCATCTTTGCATCAACAAGTAATTTTATCGCTCTTCTGCTATTGGAACGTACTGCTGGAGGAGACGTAGGAAATACAAGTCTAAACGAAAGCAAATAATAGATACAGTTTGTTATTGTTATTTAGTCGTTTAGTTGTGTCCGACTCTTTGTGACCCCATGGACCAGAGCACACCAGGCACTGTCTTCCACTGCCTCCCGCAGTTTGGTCAAACTCATGCTGGTAGCTTTGAGAACACTGTCCAACCATCTTGTCCTTTGTCGTCCCTTTCTCCTTGTGCCCTCAATCTTTCCCAACATCAGGATTTTTTTCCAGGGAGTCTTCTCTTCTCATGAAGTGGCCAAAGTATTGGAGCCTCAGCTTCAGGATCTGTCCTTCCAGTGAGCACTCAGGGCTGATTTCCTTCAGAATGGATAGGTTTGATCTTCTTGCAGTCCATGGGACTCTCAAGAGTCTCCTCCAGCACCATAATTCCATAATAGATACAGTTATCAGTGGCAAATAAAACGTAATCATTGTGCATAACTCCAATGCAGGGGTAGGCAACCTAAGGCCCGTGGGCCAGATGCGGCCCAATTGCCTTCTCAATCCTGCCCGTGGACAGTTCTGGAATCAGCGTGTTTTTACATAAGTATAATGTGTGCTTTTATTTAAAATGCATCTCTGGGTTATTTGTGGGGCATAGGAATTCATTCGGTTTTTTCCCCTTCAAAATATAGTCCGCCCACCACATGGTCTGAGAGACGATGGACCAGCCCACAGCTGAAAAAGGTTGCTGACCCCTGATCTAATTCATGCTTCTTGTTTTTCCCATTGCAAAGCCCTTATGTACATTTGGAAGGATTGGTTTTTACTGTTGTTGTTTTTTAAAATAAGCAGGCCAGAATAAATCAATGGCATGTTGAATCACTGAAGTATTGGTGGATCCTGTAGCAGTGCTTTGTAGCAGTAGCAGCTGATAAGGTCAGATAAGGACACTGCCAGGAATGGATGAACCATTTCTTCTTACATGCATTAATACCCTTATGACCACTTCTCAGCTTGGGGAGAGGTCAAGCAAAAGTTATTTCAATCAGGGCAGCTATGGAGCTATAATCTCTCTTTCTTGACCTCTAACATCACCTAAAACAACAAGGAAGTCGCTTTCTGACAGTATAAACACAACCTAAAGAATGGATGTTATTGAAAAGTCCAAAACGGCAAATCACAGCACCCAAGTTTTTTTAATGTTTGGAACTGAACTAGTTCAACAACCAGCTATCAGATCGATTATTACTTTTCGATGAGTGCAAACATCGGAGTCTTAGTTCAGCATAGCCAGAGACCCTGGCTTTCATTCATTTGAAACCCACTGACGCCGACGAGACCAGAATCGGCCGAAACTGAAGTGGTCGATCTTAAGCAGGTTGTGGATCATCCCGTAATCTTCCTTGTCCTTTGAGTAACCCAGATTAAACATTCAAATCCTCCGAAAGCTTAGACATCTTCTCTGCGCGCCAGTTGGAGGAGAAGGCGAGTGTTATAAGTGACCCTGCAAAGAGATCAGGTCATCTGTCTATGTCTCTAGTTGGGAGACTTTGGGAGGGTAATGTGAGGATTTCCTCTCTCTCTCCAACCCTCCAGCTGTTAGCACACATTCTGGCTTGCACACATGCGCAAAACCCTGGCTAGACAAGCCGCTGCATTTTGGCTGACCTTTCTTTTTTCGTGTTTGCTAGCTAGCTTGCCATGAGAGACACCGACAGGATTACATAAAGGCAGCAAACCCCTGTAGTTTTGTGAGGAATTTTATGGCTCACTACAAACAAGTGGACTGAGCGCATTGAATGATACAGAGCCCTGTAAATTGCTAGGATTTTGTTATTGTTATTTAGTAAAGCTGCAGCAAATTAAAAGACGCCTGCTTCTTGGGAGAAAAGCAATGACAAACCTAGACAGCATCTTAAAAAGCAGAGACACCACCATGACAACAAAGGTCCGTATAGTTAAAGCTATGGTTTTTCCAGTAGTGAGGTATGGAAGTGAGAGCTGGACCATAAAGAAGGCTGATCGCCGAAGAATTGATGCTTTTGCATTATGGTGCTGGAGGAGACTCTTGAGAGTCCCATGGACTGCAAGAAGATCAAACCTATCCATTCTGAAGGAAATCAGCCCTGAGTGCTCACTGGAAGGACAGATCGTGAAGCTGAGGCTCCAGTACTTTGGCCACCTCATGAGAAGAGAAGACTCCCTGGAAAAGACCCTGATGTTGGGATAGATGGAGGGCACAAGGAGAAGGGGACGACAGAGGACGAGATGGTTGCACAGCGTTCTCGAAGCTACCAGCATGAGTTTGACCAAACTGCGGGAGGCAGTGGAAGACAGGAGTGCCTGGCGTGCTCTGCTCCATGGGGTCACGAAGAGTCGGACACGACTAAACGACTAAACAACAACAACAACAACAAATTATTTGGGCCTAACTCAGGCTTCCTCAACCTCGGCCCTCCAGATGTTTTTGGCCTACAGCTCCCATGATCCCTAGCTAGCAGGACCAGTGGTCAGGGATGCTGGGAATTGTAGTCTCAAAACATCTGGAGGGCCGAGGTTGAGGAAGCCCGGCTTAACCTTTGGGAAGTGTGTTAACTGAGTAAACCTCTTACGATTTCACAGAGGACACCAGTTCAAGAGGTTATCATCTTCTTAGGCCCTAATTACCCTGCACATTTAAAGAAGTATCTGAAAAGTCACGACTTCCTCCCCCCCCCAAAGAATTCTGGGAACTGTAGTTTGATAAGGGCATACCTTCCAACATTTCTATGATGAAAATATAGACGTCCGATTCAATAATAATAATAATAATAATAATAATAATAATAATAATAATTTTATTATTTATACCTTGCCCATCTGCCTGGGTTGCCCCAGTTACTCAGGGCGGCTTCCAACATATATAAAACACACAATCAAACATTAAACATTAAAAAAAACCTTCCCTATACAGGGCTGCCTTCAGATGTCTTCTAAAGGTTGTATAGTTACTTATCTCCTTCCGTTTTGAGTGTTACGCTTCCGATTTGAGTGTTACACTTCCAATTTGAGTGTTACGCTTCCGATTTGAGTGCTACACTGAGGTCTGTCAGCTGGCGAGTCCCGAGCACCCACGTGACATGGAGGTGATATTTGGAGCTTATATTTGGGCATTTTGTTTTTGCTATTTATTTTGTGTTTTTGTTTTGGCGGCTTTTTCAGTTAATTTGTTTTTGAGACTGTGTGGAACGCAGTAAAGTTCATGTTAAATTCCTGTTTTAGGGGTTGTTTTTAACAGTCTGGAACAGATTAATCCATTTTGCATTACTTTCTATGGGAAAGCGCGCCTTGGTTTTAGAACGCTTTGGAAGTCGAACGGACTTCCGGAACGGATTAAGTTTGAGAACCAAGGTACCACTGTATTTTAATATTGATTTCTCTCAATATAGTGGTACTTCGGGTTAAGAACTTAATTCATTCTCGAGCTCCGTTCTTAACCTGAAACTGTTCTTAACCTGAAGTACCACTTTAGCTAATGGGGCCTCCTGCTGCTGCTGCGTGATTTCTGTTCTCATCCGGAAGCAAAGTTCTTAACCCGAGGTACTATTTCTGGGTTAGCGGAGTCTGTAACATGAAGTGTCTGTAACCCAAGGTACCACTGTATAATGTTTATTTATTTTGCTAATGGGGCCTCCCACTGCGCACGCAACTCCGGTGCGCAATTTCCATTCGTATCCTGGGCAAAGTTCGCAACTAGGAGCAGCTACTTCTGGGTTAGCGGAGCTTGTAACCTGAAGCATTCGTAACCAGAAGAGTTCGTAACTCCACTGTTCTTGGAGTTGCACTGGTTTCAAGGAGGCAACAGGAATGCAATCCTATACAGTGGTACCTCGGGTTAAGAACTTAATTCATTCTGGAGGTCTGTTCTTAACCTGAAACTGTTCTTAACCCGAGGTACCACTTTAGCTAATGGGGCCTCCCACTGCCGCCGCACTACCGCCATGCGATTTCTGTTCTCATCCTGAAGCAAAGTTCTTAACCCGAGGTACTATTTCTGGGTTAGCGGAGTCAGTAACCTGAAGCGTCTGTAACCTGAAGCACCTGTAACCCGAGGTACCACTGTATATTCTTCCCTTCCGCAAACTCAGTGGGAGAGTTAAGTAAAGCATTGATATCAGCGCAGCTTTGTACGGCTTTGATGGAATTCATATGCAGCCTTGGTTCAGAAAAGAGAGAAAGGGGAACAAGTAGAGGATTGTTGAAAGCAGAGGTTGTTTCGATGTAACTGCATAATCATGTCACATCTTAAGTCGGCGTGACCCATGGAAATTGCTTCATTCCCTTCACCTATTTGATATATGAGATTGATACTTCAGGCACATAGGATGAAAAGAAATTTTACATTAAAACATTAAGGGGAGTTTATTGTTTCATTAAAAATTTAGGAGCCATTGATTCAAATTTCAATGGTGCTACAGAACAGGAGACCTCAGGCTCTACAACTGTAAATGTTTGAGCTGGCGCCTATCAGAAACAATTAAACCCGAGGCAAAACCTTCCATGCTAAGAGTGTGAATGTTCATGCGCCAGATTTTATGGGCTAAATAATGGAACTTTCCATGTTAGATAATAATTTGTAGCTAAACAGCCGGGCTGCTATGGAATTTGTGCATGGACGTCACAGCAATGTGTTCTGCTCTTGTTTGGTTTCGTTTTCCCCCTGAAATTTGGCATATATATATATATATATATATATATATTCAGTATCTGTAGGTATAGATATACAGTACAGTCGTGGGTTCTCGAACGCCTTAGTACTTGTACGTCTTGACTACCGAACGCCGAAAACCCAGAAGGAAGTGTTCCGGTTTTCGAATATTCTTTGGAAACCAAATGTTTGAATGTTCTTTGGAAGCCGAAGGTCCGACGGGACTTCCACGGCTTCCAATTGAGTGCAGGAAGCTCCCACAGCAAATCAGAAGCTGCGCCTTGGTTTTTGAACTGTTCTGGGAGTCAAACGGACTCCTAAAACGGATTAAGTTCGACAACCAAGGTACACTGTGCAGAGAGAAGGGGTAAGACCTGGAAGACCCTCTCCTTCCTGCAGACTGTCCTGGGTGCTAATATTGGCAGTTCCTTCACCTCTTGGCAGTTCCTTCACCTTCAGAAATTCAGGGGTGGTGATACTGGTGCAAGAGAAGGCCTTCTCTGTGGCAGTTTTCTGTCACTCAAGTTATATTTTGTTGACATGAGGAAAGGTCCTGCAGAAGTGAAACGAAACACCATTGAACATTAGAATAACAAAGCTCTCCGCTACTTTATTCTTACTACTACTATTATTATTACTATTACTATTGTTATATCCAAAAACCCAAGACAATGGCACAAAGAGACAGATCTCTGACAAAGGGACACTGACTTTTTCAGTGGAAAAGGAAAACAGTGTGATAAAATCTGGTGATTTCTACACAATCTGTTTCTCGGATTTAATCACCTGTCATCTTGATATCCCTGAACCGTAATTCCATTCAGTACTTTTTCTTCTTCTTCAATTATCACTCATAGCCAAGTAAGGTTGTCTTCCATGAACACGGTCTTAACAGTGAGTCCGTAAGTGGCTGTGGAAGCCAATTCTGGATCCACACGTCCTTCCACAGTGGGGACATAGGTTTCCGGGTGGGAGTTGGTCAAGGTGAGAGTTTGCCAAGCGTGCCTTCCTCTTAGCACGTTTCTCCCTTTCATCCTGAGTTTGAGCGTTTTCAAAGCCCATGACACCTTTGGTAAAGGCTGTTCTCCAACTGGAGCACTCGCAGGCCAGTGTTTCCCAGTTATTGGTGTCTATAGTACATTTTTAAAGATTTGCCTTGAGATGTCTTTAAACGTCTTTTGTTGACCACCAGCATTACGCTCTCCATTCTTTTTTCCCCCCCAGACTGGTTCAAAAACTTTATGTAAGAAAGATTGAAGATTCAGTAGTTATTCCAACATTCAAAAGCTAACCAATAAGTTATTGTGCAGACAGTTTGGTTTACTCTCCATTCTTAAGTTAACAGAGTAGTTGCTTTGGAAGAAAATAATCAGGCATCTGACAACACGACCAGTCCAAGGAAGTTGATGTTGAAGAATCTTGCTTCGACACTGGTCATCTTTGCTTCTTCCAGTAGAAGGTAAAGGACCCCTGGACGGTTAAGTCCAGTCAAAGGCGACTATGGGGTTGTAGTGCTCATCTTGCTTTCAGGCCAAGGGAGCCGGCGTTTGTCCACAGACAGTTTTCCGGGTCATGTGGCCAGCTTGACTAAACTGCTACTGACGCATGGAGGACCGTGACGGGTGTCAGAGCACACGGAAACGCTGTTTATCTTCCCACCGCAGTGGTACCTATTTATCTACTTGCACTGGAATGCTTTTGAACTGCTAGGTTGTCAGGAGCTGGGACAGAGCAACGGGAGCTGACCCCATCGCAGAGATTCGAACCGCCGACCTTCCAATCAGCAAGCCCAAGAGGCTCAGTGGGTTTAGAACACATTGCCACCCGTTCGCCTGTCTTCCCACGTGATACACACACACATGCAGGGGCAGATTTGGGTAATCTTTTGTAATATGGCTGCCTGCGTGAGACCCTCACATGGATCTTCTCAATTATAGATCTTCTCAATTTTGTGCCCCCTTGTTGGCTTGGCACCTGGGGAGATTGGGAGTGGAGTGGATGGAGGCAGCATGCATGGCGTGTTGGGGGGCAAGCAGATGCCCCCTGCATGCCCCCTACACATGTGACCTACACATGTGACCTGAAGGAGCGTCTCCACCCCCATCGTTCAGCCCGGACACTGAGATCCAGCGCCGAGGGCCTTCTGGCGGTTCCCTAATTGTGAGAAGTGAGGCTACAGGGAACTAGACAGAGGGCCTTCTCGGTAGTGGCACCCGCCCTGTGGAATGCCCTCCCATTAGATGTCAAAGAGATAAACAACTACCTGACATTCAGAAGACATCTTAAGGCAGCCCTGTTCAGGGAAGTTTTTAATATGTAACACTGTACTGTTTTAAAACTTGATTGGGAGCCGCCCAGAGTGGCTGGGGAAACTCAGCCAGATGGACGGGGTATAAATAATAAATTATTATTATTATTATTATTATTATTATTATTGTTATTATTATTATTATTATTATTATTATTATTATTATTATTATTATTATCAACAATGCCTGTTTAGGGGTACCATCTCCATCATTAACCTTTCCAGTACTCAGTGCTTGGTTTATGTCAAGTATGTCAGACCAGTTCCAAAGCTACATAAGAAATGTTTAGGTGGTTTCAGAAACTGTTTAGATTAAGAGCAGAACATCCGTTTTGTCATCTCCCTTTTGCCAGCCAGCATAGGAGAAAGGTACATTTCCAAGCAGAAAATAATATTCTCTTACAGGAAGAAGAATTGAAGAACTTCTTGCACATGTTTTTTTAGTGAGCATATTGAAAGGAATAATAGCTGTCGAGTAAAACCTGAGATGAACCTCCTCTTTGCACAAGGGGAAACCAAACCTCTGCTGATCCTTACAACTCAATTATCATCTAAACTGCTCATTTCCTCCTCCAATCTGAGATTTATAGAATCTGAATGGGACATGCATTTTTAATGCCGTAGCAGGAATCATAAATGTGGTTGGCCTTGATTACCAGAATGTTAATACAATAAAGACTCTCCGTCCCCTGGAAGGGGAAAAATAAAATTAAGGGAAACCGATACACTGAGAACCCTAATAATGCAGGCAACATTTTTGATATGATTAAAAGCCTTTGGAGGAAGGAAGCCAAGTCCTGAAATATCAGATCCATTTGCAAAATCCTCATGTCGTCTCTCTCCCCCCACCCTCCCCATTTTTTAAATGATGGAGGACCAGGTGGTAGCATTTCATTTCAACTAATTAGCCTCTAATTTACTGTAAATATCTTAGAATTCCTTGAACAAGTCTCAGCGGGATCTGAGAGGAAACAATCTACTGGTTCAATACATCTTCCAGAAATACCGTGGGGAGGCCGCTAAATACATGAAGCACTGCATTAGTTAATAAATCTGAGCATGCTTTTTAAATATGTGAAAAGCACTTGAAAAATGCAAACAGTATGCTCCTGTTATCTCTTACCCATTGCCGGTGTGTGTGACAAAAGCGGCATGCCTGAGAAAAAAAATGATAATGATTCTCTGTGAAATTACGTGTAATTTATGACTCTGCGCGGCTCATTGAGGATGATTATCTGTAATAAATGAGAAAGTAATGGTAGTATTACTATAACAAGTGTTATTGCATAGTTACTATTTGTAATATATTTATTAGATGTATTTATTCCTGTGTGAAATATGCAGACTGGTATCTGACCAAATTGTGCTCAGGACCCGTTGAAGTCAAGGGGCTTATGTTAGTCACATCTATTGATTTTAATATTCAACCCCATCTGTCCCAGCCAGTCTGGCCAATGGACAAAGATGATGGAGGTTGTAGTCCAATAAGTTCACAAGTGACACTGAAATGGGCCAAATTATCCATTATTATAAGAGAATATGAGAGAGAGGGAGAAAGAGAGAGAGAGAGAGAGAGTCGCTACCAGTCTCTGTCTCCTTCCTCTGTTTCCTCACTCTCACTATTTCAAGCCTTATGCACTTGTGATGTCACCTGTGATGTCACCTTATGCACTGTGATGTCACTATTTCAAGCCTTATGCACTTGTGATGTCACCTGTGATGCCACCTTATGCACTGTGATGTCACTAGTTCAAGCCTTATGCACTTGTGATGTCACCTGTGGTTTGTTTTTGTTGTCCGTCCCTCCCACAATAGGATAAAGTTTATTGCTTTCAATTTAGTCAAACGTTTTGGTGTGTAATCAACAAGAGTCCAGAAGCTCTTGAGCACATGGTCTAAGTTTCTCCTCTCTTCGCCCCTCTTTATAGAGGCCCCCCACACTTATTAAAAGAGGAAGGAGGAAGCAGAATTTTTTTATTGAAATGCTGTGGGCCTGGAGGTAGCCCCACCCCAATGGTGAAGAAGGTCCATTGGCTCTTAACCCTTGGAGGATTAAGGCAGATAGAGTTTAAAATGGCTTGGCTAGAAGGGACTTTGTGTCTTTTTGGCTGCTCTAACCGGAAAAGTATGGGACGCAGGTGGCGCTGTGGGTTAAACCACAGAGCCTAGGGCTTGCTGATCAGAAGGTCGGAGGTTCGAATCCCCGCGATGGGGTGAGCTCCCGTTGCTCTGTCGAAAGCACGTCAAAGTGCAAGTAGATAAATAGGTACTGCTCCGGTGGGAAGGTAAACGGTGTTTCTGTGTGCTGCTCTGGTTCTCCAGAAGCGGCTTAGTCATGCTGGCCACATGACCCGGAAGCTGTATGCCGGCTCCCTCGGCCAAAAAAGCGAGATGAGCGCCGCAACCCCAGAGTTGGTCACGACTGGACCTAATGGTCAGGGGTCCCTTTACCTTTAACTGGAAAAGTGGGCTGCTTGAGGTCCAGATCCATGGTGCAATCTTAGGGGAGAGGACTGAAAGCCACAAAGACGGCTTGTGTGCCCATCCCAAATTCTTGCTGTGCTGGGTTGGGTTTCCCAGGGAAAGTGACTTTGCTGAGGCCTACCAGGAACATGTTATTCCTTGAAAGAGAACTACCTGAAAATCATTTACAGATGGTATTTAACTCGTGAGTAGACTTGCTAAAATGTATAAGACTGAATCAGTTAAGTGCTGGAGATGCAATGAGGCTGAGGGTATGTTCTATCATATGTAGTGGACTTGTAAAAGGGTAAAAGAATACTGGAAATAATTTATAATGAATTGGGAGGGGGGAATGTTTAAAAGTACTTTTCCGAAAAACACTCAGAGTCATTTTTGTTGGGGGTAATTCAGATGGAAATTCCCAGGTGTCAAAAAAGGCTATTTATGTATGCCACCACTGTGGCCTGTGTTTTGTTAGCCCCCAAATGGAAAACGAATGAGGTCCCAACTAAAGAAGAATGGCAACTTAAACTGATGGAATATGCGCAGCTCGCAGACTTAACTTATAGAATAAGAGAACAAGAAGAATATAGCTTTAAAGAAGATTGGAAAATGTTTATTGAATATATGGGTGAAAATTGTGTACGTTTGAAAACGTTGGCAGCTTTAAAGTAAATTCAACAGTGTAAATAAGTTTTGATGGATGTAAAGATGGGGTACTGAATGGTTTAGTTTATGTAAAATATGCAGGGATCTATGGCATGCAAACTGAACCATGGAAAGAGAAGGGAAGTCATTGATATTTTAAGGTTGTTAAAATGAATATTCTGAAATGTAAAATAGAAACACACACACACACACACACACACACAAATGAAAACAGGGGAAAGATCCAGCCAAGTGAAACCATGTAATGTTCACCAGAGAAGACAGAATCTAGGGATGGTTATATCCAGGAAGAGTGTTTGTTTTCAAGGTTTCAAGAAAGAGACAAAAGACATGGAGCGATGGCAGCTCCAAGTCTCTAACAACTTCGAATTTGGCCCTAAAACTAGCATTGCATGGAGTGTCTCACAACATGGCTCATGCAGATGAATCGTCTTCTTTAACCTTGGCTAGAGAATTGAGTGTGAATTGATGGGTTTTGCTTCTCAACTGCTGTGAACAGTGAACTGCTGTACAAAGATCAATGTCTGTGAGAGGAGGAAACATCTGGAAGACATAGAGAAATGTCAGCTTTTAAGATGGCACTAATCTATTTCTATGTTGGATCCTGTTTAGGCCAAGGTTTTCCTAGCCTAAACTTTGATAGTGGTTGTCATGAGATGATGTACAATTTTATTCGTTTATTTACAGCGTTTGCATGACACTCAGTAACAGTGATCTCAACGTGGTTTGCAATAATGAAACGTCAGAGCAAAACCAAGCAATACATAATCAGCAAAACAGCAAACTTCCAGCTAAATACAGTCCCCATCGAAACGCATATATTAGTGTAGATAACATAAAAGCTCACTTTGCAGAAACATGTATACCAGCAAAATTTCCATACAAATACATGTCTATTAGAAGAAATGTACAGTGAAATTCTGATGAATTTTCATGAGGGTTTTAAAAAAAAACAAAAATCCTGACAAGACAGAAGTACTGTTTTTGGGGGACAGGAGGCGGGCAGGTTTGGAGGATTCCCTGGTCCTGAATGGGGTAACTGTGCCCCTGAAGGACCAGGTGCACAGTCTGGGAGTCATTTTGGACTCACAGCTGTCCATGGAGGCACAGGTCAAATCTGTGTCCAGGGCAGCTGTCTACCAGCTCCATCTGTTACGCAGGCTGAGACCCTATCTGCCTGCAGACTGCCTCGCCAGAATGGTGCATGCTCTGGTTATCTCCCGCTTGGACTACTGCAATGCGCTCTACGTGGGGCTACCTTTGAAGGTGACCCGGAAACTACAACTAATCCAGAATGCGGCACCCAGACTGGTGACTGGGAGTGGCCGCTGGGAACATATAACACCGGTCTTGAAAGACCTACATTGGCTCCCAGTATGTTTCCGAGCACAATTCAAAGTGTTGGTGCTGACCTTTAAAGCCCTAAACGGCCTCGGTCCAGTATATCTGAAGGAGCGTCTGCACCCCCATCGTTCTACGAGGACACTGAGGTCCAGCACCGAGGGCCTTCTGGCTGTTCCCTCACTGCGAGAAGCCAAGTTACAGGGAACCAGGCAGAGGGCCTTCTCAGTAGTGGCGTCCTCCCTGTGGAACGCCCTCCCCCTACATGTCAAAGAGAACAACAACTACCAGACTTTTAGAAGACATCTGAAGGCAGCCCTGTTTAGAGAAGCTTTTAATGTTTGATGTAGCACAGTATTTAATATTTTTTTGGAAACCGCCCAGAGTGGCTGGGGAAGCCCAGCCAGATGGGCGGGGTATAAATAAATTATTATTATTATTATTATTATTATTATTATTATTATTATTAATGTGCCTGAAATATTGTTGTCACATGGCTCCTGACTGGAAGAAATGTCACAGATCCCGTAAGGCAGGATCCTGCTAACCAAGCCGTATAAACAGGCATTCCAAGACATACCGTATTTTTCCGTGTATAAGACATGGGGTTTTTCTTTAAAAATTAGCTTTAAAATTTGCCCTCGTCTTATACATGGGTAGTGCAGAGCGGGGTTGGGCGACTGGTTGCAGATGCAAGCAGGAGATTTTCTGCAGCGATAGGGCAGGCGATTGGTGGCTGTGTGAAGGGCTGTTTGCGATTGGCTGCCTCTGTGGATTACATGGCTGTGGGTCTTCGGCGAGGTGCGCAATCGTCAGCAGTGGGTGAGTGATTTTAGGCAATTCCATCCCCCCGAAAGCTCAAGAAATCTGGGCAACCCCCCCAAAGCTCAAAAACTGTGGGCAATCCCCTCCAAAAAAGCTCTTTCCCCCCCCTTTTTCATACACACACACACACACACACACACACACACACTTTTTATTTTTGAATATTTGGATGTAATGTAATTTATGCTTTCTCTGTAATTTTTAAAAATGCAATAAAGATAAAAAAAGAAAGAAAGCGAGATGAGCCCTGCAACCCCATAGTTGCCTTTGACTGGACTTAACTGTCCAGGGGTCCTTTACCTTTTTTAAAAAAGCTTTTTGCATTTTAATATGTACAGTATACTCTCAACTTACATGCATTTAGCTTGTGTGCATCCTGTTTTATACACTTGGCAAACAAATGAAGAAAATTAAAAAGGGTCTGGAAAGGAGGGGAAAAAACCTTTGGCAATCCAACCCACCATTGCACCTAATGCGTTTTGATTATATATACATTTGTAACTGCTGGTTTTATTTACATTTTAAAAACAACAATGACTTGGTTACCTAGGGCAGGATTCAGCTAATGAGTCCAGATAGCAGTAGCTTGCACAAGGTCTTCCACTTGTGCAACAGAATTGCACGCCCCTGTGCCCCCAAAACTGGCTCAGGTGTGTGTGTGGGAGAACCCCTGGACCAAACTTTGCGGCGGAAGACATGCTTGCCCTACCAGAACAACCAACATAGCACAATATCACATCCTCCAGCATTTCTCTGATGAAAATAGGGATCTCCTGTTCCATAATAATACTAATAATTTTATTATTTATACTCTGCCCATCTGACTCAGTTGCCCCAGCCACCCAGGGAAGCTTACAACATATAAAAATAATAATAAAGCATTAAACATTTAAAAAAACTTCCCTATATAGGGCTGCC